CTCTTTTCATTAGTCCTTGGGGTTGGCAAAAGTTACTCCTGTGTTTTCTGTTGCACTGATTGTGACTTTTTCATTGCTGCCGATTGCCTTTTTTTTCTCCCCAAAGCAAACTTTGTGGAAAAAAGGGGGAACGGAGTCCAAGAAACTTGGAATGATAAGAGAATAGCACAACATGTGAACTTTTAAAGGTCCTCTAAAATTACTCTAAAATGTCCTTTAAAAAGGAACTAGAAAACAGCACTCATTGTATCATAAAATGAGATTATTTCTATTTCTTAAGTCAACTTTGAAATGTAGCCTTGTTACCCCCCCCCCGCCACTCCCCTCTCTACCCCAACAAGAGCATAACATGGTTGGATACTCTGCTGTCACACTTGGTCAAAGAGATGACTCAAGGTATCTGAAGCATCACAAAGCCAGTTTGATTGTAGGAATCTGTATGGAAAAAGGGGAGGGAAAGAAACACTGAAAAGTTGTTGTTGGAAAATTAACTCATTCCTGTTACTCACTACCATTTTTGAGAAATAGCCGCTTGTCATTAGTCCTCATAGGAAATGTTTTCCATTTTTTGTTCCTGCCTCATGTTTGCTGATTTTAAAATGTTTTTCTATGATGTTTAAAAAGTTAAAGTTTTTTGACTGAATTTTTATAAATCATCTGCACAATATGTATGGCTTTAAAGAGCACTTAATGAACCCTTTGTAAACCAAATTTGACTTTGTTCTGACATTTTTTGCCCATAGGAATGCATTAATTAGATTTCAATGCATTCCTATGGGAAAACGCATTTCACAAGACAACATTAACGGTGGAACGAATTAAATTCGTCTTGCAAGGCACCACTGTATAAGAGAAACGGTGTTTCGGTCGCCCATGGATGTCTTACAACTCAGAAACACTGGTTTCCTTCCAGGCTTGAGGCCCTTTCAGATATTTTTAGCCAGAATGAAAATGGGTGTGGGATTGTTGTGGAAATCTCTCCCTCCCACAAGCATGTCTTCATCAGAGTGTCTTAGAGCAAGGAAAGATTATCTCTCTTTTTTTTTCGGAGGACAGTTCTGTGAAAACTCCTCCTCCCACTTTGTTTCTGAACTCTAGAAATAACTGGCCCAAACTCCAGAACTTGTTCTCCTGAGTGGCAACCTAAAAGTTGGTCTCTAAAACATTCACCGAGCGTCCAACCCAAAGGCCCTTGGAGTGGGAGGGAAGAAGTGCCATTTTCTTTGGCTGAATCAGACAGTATTCTGATCCTTGCAAATACGCTGTCACGGACGGCTACCTAGGTTCGGTCCTCCAGGCCAGGTGTCCCGGAACTTGCCATGGCAAAGGAGAGATCAGAAGGGCATTCAGGACTAGGAATGGCCCGGGCACCCAGAGCAGCTGTCAATCTTCGCTCGCCAGTGCTGTTCGGGGTGCGGAGAATGTTCTGCTTCCTGCGATAAGCCTCACACAGCCTGGCGTTTGTATAGATCCTTTTGTTGGGTTGGGTTTTTTTGCATACAAGCACCCGACGGAGGTGCAAGAAAGCAGGAAAGCAGCTGTTTGGCGGCTTGTAGATGGCAAACACAGAGAGATTTTTGTGCATGGGGAGATGTGAAGATGGACGGAAATCAGGACGATTTTCCTGGCGCCTCTGTCATTTCGATGTGTACAAGGACCATGTTAGGAAACAGACCCTGCTTGATGGGCTTACAACTTGATTTGGATGAGGACCACACATAAATTAGAGCTAATCAGTGGAGGACAGAGGAGCGAACCCAACCGATTAAACGTCAATGATTCTTGCAGCGTTCTGTTTAGGAAACAGGGAGAGGACTTGAATATTGGTGGGGAAAAGGTTTCTTTAAGGAGGAATAACACGAGGAAGGTTGCAAAGAATGAAATAGAAGGGTGAAATCTATCTTTTGAGAACTTTCATTAAGGGTAAAAGGTGGCTTAGCCTGGAGAAATATTCAGGTTTCCTCTACTAAGCTGGTGGGCTCAAGTTTGCTTGCTTTGCCTATTATATTGTTAAGGCAGCAATAGGAGAAGTTGCTTCTTGGGGGCCACCATTCCTCAAAACGTTCCAGGAGTGAGGAGGGTGCTGATTCAATGATGGAGGAGGGCACATTTCGAGAGTTGGTGTGAGATAATGGAGAACCGGGGTTCACATACTGATTAGCGACAAAGCCTGCGTCAGGCGCTGTTTCTCATGCTGGTCCTACAACGCAGGGTTGTTACTAGGAAAAGGGTGGGCGTGGCCAAGTATGTCACCACCCTCCCTCAGTGCTTTAAAAACTAATTTCTCTTGAATTGTGTTTGTGTGTGTGTGTGAGAGAGAGGGGGGGGGAACACCAGCAAGTTCTTTGGGAACTTTAGAGAACCGGGTCTCCCTCCTCACTCTCGATTCCAGTCATTTCAGGGTGCGTGCAAAGGAAACTGTCCGTTCCTGAGTCTATATATAGGCCGCAGAGCACGAGAATGCAGGACAGCTCCGGCGTTTATTTTTACTCCCCCTTAATGGGTGTCGCAGTGCCTGGCACTTCTTTCTCTGTCCAGAAGTCAAGGCAGAGGGTGTAATTTTGGGCAGGGAATGGGCCTTCTCACATCCCTGCCTGTGTGTTTGTTTTAGAAAGCCATCCTTTGCTGCTCCTGCTCCTGCCAGCATTGCAAAAGCTTTGCGGTGAAAACCTTTCCCTTGCCAGGGGAAATTACAGAGAAAGGAGGCCGGATCCCAGGTCCCTTTCCCAGAAATGCAATCTGACTGATTTTGCAAGCATCTTTAAAAAAAAAAGTCGTTTTTAAAAAGCACCCCACCCTGCCCTTGGTTACAAAAGGGTCATGTATGAAGCTGCCCTGTCTGTACCCCGTGCTCTGAGTGTTGGACTTTCCAGCGAGTTTTCCAAAGGCCCAGACTCAGTGGGGTCTTTCCTTTCCCCCCTGCTGACCTACCAGGTTCTTTCAGAGTAGAGAGGCTGGCGCTGAACCTGGGACCCTTTTGGGGGGCAAAGCAGTGGCTCCATCCGTGAGGTGTCTGCCCCTTCTCGAATCTACCTGTTCATGGTCTTTAGGTGAGCTCTTTCGCTGCCGCACATGAT